TTTATATAGATGACAGCGAACAAAGACAAACTATCTACACATGGAATCTTCCCTAGGTGATGACAAGCGAAAAGGGAATATTCCATATGAGATCTTGAGAAGAGAGAATGATCGTATGTGTGAAGAAAGAGGAGAACGCAAGGAAAAATCCCTCATCATATATATATATATATGTATATATATATATATGATAGAAGAGGAAAAATCCATCACACATCACAAGGGAAAACACCAAGAATGACAAGAGAGAGAGAGAGAGAGAGAACACATGACTATCTAACATTGACTTTTTTATTACAATGTATTTTATCCTATCCGCGATAAACACGAATACATAGATAATGCTTTCTTCTTTTTCTGTTCTGTAGAATGAGTGCAATATAGATTTATAGTTTTGAATAGTCGAAAATAGAATAAATCAATGAGAGAATATCTGCTTATCAAAGTAAACTAATTTATTCTATTCGACAGTTTTAATTCATTTTAAATCATAAGTCTAAAACTTCTCGTTAGTATGAGAGCTTTGTCATCGAATTCAATAGAATAAAATTCAATAAATTTTCTGTTTATATATATATTCTGGGATAATGAAAAATAGTCAAAGTACAATACATTATTTGATTGTATTATATTTAAAACCTTTTCATTAATAAATCAGTTTTATATAATAACAATCATTGTGAGTTTATAAGATAGATAAATTGTTGTATTAGAATTTCCTGTTCGATTTATTATTTATATTATCTATTGATTATTTTATAAACGATAGTCATCTCTAAATTCAATTTCATCTACTAACTTGTTTTGCATCTCCTGTCATCATCAGAATCTACTCTTGTTTAAATACAAGACGATGTTCCATAATTATAATCCAAATCAGTTTCCATACATACAGGTGGTTATGACGTAATTCTTCTTAATACTTTCTCCTGAAGAGTCTTCGAACAATTTCAAAATTAATAATTAGTTTTTTATCTTTGTTGAGATTTCTCTGCTTGAAGAAATTCATCTCACTGTTACATCACTCAAAATTTTGAAGATTTTTATATCTTCAGCATTATAAAATGAGTAAATGTGTTCGTCAAAGAAATGTTTTTGTCTAAAAGAGAAATTTTATTTGAAATAATATATCATAGAACTCTCATAATATCTTAGAAATTGTAGTCAATACAAATAAATCTTACTCGAGATTTTGAATTTATTTTCGTAATGACTGTATTTTTTTTTGTTGATTAATTTTCGTTTACTTTCTTATTTGTTATGGCTTTCAATTCCTAATAAATAAAGAAACTTAATCGATTATTATTTGATTTGCATAACTAAGATAATAATTCGTTGTTTTTGTATTCTAGTAAATTTGTTATTGTATACAACTTGATTAATTCTTATAACATTAGTCAATATTCAATCAAGCTATTTCATTGATAATACTAATCTTACAAAATATCGATTAAATCATCTTAATAATAATTTGTATATGTTTATATCCTAGGCAATAGTTCATGAACTTTTATCATTCTATAGTAATTTTGATTTATATTTCTTAGTGAATATTTCAATATTTGTTAATTGTTCGTATATTTTTTTCATGCTTCTTTTCGGTTTTTCAATGCGTATTTTTGATTATGTTATAATTATATTTATAATAAAATGTCAATTTGATTTTCTTTTAAATAAAATATTATGAGTCAATCTTCATCAATATTTTTATTATATAAAAGTGTGCTAAAGATTTCATCAGTATATTAGTTACGTTATAGTCATGCATAATTACATGCTCACATAATCAATTATGATATCGCGGTTTTTTTTCGAAAATGAAAATAAAAGTCATAAATAAAATAATGTTTTTCCAATTATTTATTAATAAGAACAAGTTATGAAAATGAAAATATCTTATGTATGTTTATTATTATTAAAATCAGATCGAAATTTTCCAAAATATTTTAATATTCTTTTTTGTTGAAGTAGAATTTCGTTGTAAGAGAATCAAATATTTCGTTTATTTAGATATCGACAATATTTATTAAAAATTATAAAAAAAAAAAACATGGCCAACAGTGTAATGAATAAGAGTGAAGTCGATACTCTTGTCGCAAATTTAATATCGGATACTGTCAGATAAAATCTTGTTTTAGATATTTTTATTAACTTTTTTTTTCTTTTATATAGACTGTTAACAAAGTTCATTTCAAAGGAAGTCAAATCGGAAATAGAGCAGCCGATTTATTAGCCACTGCAATACAAAATAATTATGTAAAATAGATTTATTTATTAATAATTTCATAATTATTTTTTTTTATTTGTAGAATATTCATACATTTAATCTTATCGGAGATAAACTTGATATTCTTTCATCAGGAAGATTTGCTGATGCAATACAATTTAATACAGTAAAAAAAACGTATTTTCTTATTATGATAATTTGAAATTTTATTCGTATAGAGTATTCATACATTTAATCTTGTTGCAAATAATCTTGATATGGATACAGTAGAAAGATTTACTAATGCAATACATGATAGTTCTGTAAGTTATATGTTAATAATTTGAAATTAGTTTAATTCTTTTTGTTTTTCCACATTTAGAATATTCATACGTTCAATCTTACGACAGATAAACTTGAGAATAATAAAACAGAAAAATCATTTACACTTTCTGGTGGTGAACTTGGAGATTATACTGCAATGGAATTCGCTCGTGCAATAAGATTGAATTCTGTATGAAATATTTTCTAATGGATTCTTAGAAATTATTATTTATTTTTTTTATTTACAGAATATTCATACATTTAGTATTGATGTATATAATCTAGGACTTTCTGCTATAGGAAAAATTGTTGAAGTATTACAACGTAGTCCTGTAAGAGAGATTTTTAAATGAAAAAATTTTCAAAAATATTTTGTTTCGTTTTTATTTTTAGAATATTCGAACATTTCGTTTTATTGGAGGTAATATTGATATGTATTCAGTAGGAAGATTTGCTGATGCAATGAGATATACTTCAGTAAAAACAATTTTCTCATGTATTGATTCAACTCAGTTGTTTTTTGTTGTTGTTGATAGCATATACATACATTTACTCTTACTACTGGCAATCTTGATGTCGATGCAGCAAGAAAATTTGCTGATGCAGTACAAAAGAATTCTGTAAGTAATCTTTATTTATCATTTTATAACATCAAATCATATTTCGTTTGTTAATCTCTATATATAGAATATACATACATTTATTGTTGCTGGAGATAATCTTGATATGTATGTAGCAGAAAAATTTGCTAATGCAATACGTGATACTTCTGTAAGTAACATTGTTTATCATCTAACAAATTTTATCTTTTATTTCTAGCATATTCATACAGTTAATATTACAGCTAGTAATTTTGACATGTACACAGTAGGAAAATTTGCTGATGCAATACGTGATAATTCTGTAAGTTATATTTTATTCAAAATTTTAGAAACAATCTTTGCTCTTATTTACAGAATATTCGTACAGTTAATTTTGATGCAGAACGACTTGACAGTTATTCAGCAGACCGAATAAACGATGCAATACGAAATAAATCGGTAAGAAATATATATTTTAATTGATAAAGCACATGTATCTATTTTAGAAATCTCTTATGAAAAACGAAAAAGAGAGTACCATAGCTTTGAATGAAGAGCAACAAATATTTTTTGCTCTTAAAAAATTAAGTAAGATCATCTTTATTAAAATATCATTTAATCGATAAAATGAATATTTATTTCTATTTATTTTCTAGGAGATCTTGGAATACCATTAATTAATCCCGCTCTTTTGTACGCTCTTTATCCTAATTACTTTTATCCTAATTATAATTATAATTGGACACCGTATACTTATCCTAATAATAATATATATAGTAATCGTAATGGTTACGGACCACAATATTATTATCCTTATGGAGGAAACTATTATTATGGTAGATCAAATTTTTTTATGTTGTAATTCATAAGAGAAACTATTTTTCGATCGTCAACTTTCTTTTTCTTAAAGTTGTTAAAAGCAAATAAATATAAATGAATAAACTCAAGTAATAAAATAGATTTTTTACAAAAATTAATAAGATGTTTTTTATTAAATAAGAAGAGATCGAACTTTTTAAACAAACTATCAAAGCACTATATGCATGTGTCAACTTCATCCTCATCCGACTAATTAATATTTCATCTCATAGTAAACATGATAGAAAAAAATCTATTAAAAAAATGGTCAAGTCTATTTAACTCTAATATAGTCGACTTGGAGATAAAAACTAGACAGAATTTTTGAGTCATTTAGGTCATTTTTTGTTCACTTGGGTATCATTATTATAGAAGCAGATACATATTTATGTTTCTGAAGAAAAAATGTTCGAAAAATAAAAGAAATTACATTGCATGAGACTTTTCAGTATCAGATAATTGCGTATTGATCAATCTTTGAAAGGGCTTTTCGACAAAAATGGACCAAACGATAGATATGATCAGGCTAATTATTAATACAAGTGTTAGACATATAACTAGTAAACTATCGATTGAGTAACGTGTAGGATCAAATATATGACTGTAAGTCATTATCAATTCCAATGCAATTCGACAATGAATTACATATACTAAATAACTTAATTTGGCAATCGGTGTCCATATTGGTTGAGATAGAAATGATCTAATCCATGGACTATAGTAAGGATGTGTTGGTGGGCAAATAGCTGTAAAGAGAATAAATGCTTGTGATATTGAAAATATTTGTCGAATAATAGAAATCATAATTGTTAATACGACATGATTGACTGTATTTGGTTCAGGTGGTATCGTCGATATGAGCATGAATAGGAAAGTTATTATTAAATAAATATATTTCTTAATTGTTCCATGACGAATAATAGTGTTATTTTTGGTATTGATTAGATTAAATGCAAGAATTGATCCAATTATGAAACTTGAATATCGACCTAATATTGGCAAATATATTAGCTCCATGAACGGTTTCGTTGGATTTGAATCGATCACCTTGTCGAATCCTAATGTAACATTATATTTCGTTGTAATCCACTCAATAATCCGTTGAGGCATTGCTAATGCTAAGGGATTATAATGATGTATATACATCGAACAATCCATAGTCTTTGGATTAAAAACAAGCAATGTATAGACAATAGATAAAATAATAAGTATATATAATAATGAATAAGTCCTCCGATAATTCGATTTGAAGCTTATGACGACATGAAGAATAATAGGTAATATGATATGCATCTGCATATCAAGACAGACACTCCAGAGTAAACCAGAGCCCCATAACCATTGTTCCATACTAATATAGTTTTGATAAAATAACCAGAAACTTATCCAATTTCCTTCGGATTCACCTAATATCAGCATTAGGATGGTGATCAATAAAATTCCTGGCCAAAAACGACACGCACGTTTTAGCATATACAAAGAATATTCTTTCCATGAGAAAGAATCTTGATTTTGAATGAATTTTAATGTGAGAAGAAAACCAGATAACATGAAAAATGTTTCCAATGCTAATAATGAAGTCATTGAAAATCTATATGTATAACTATTCAAGTAATTCATCCATTGTATATGTGGATACGGTGGAATGAATGAATTCAATATTGTACCGATATGTAATGACATTATAGTTAAACAGGATATCGATCGCATTCCATTAATTGGAGCATAAATTTCGGAATGAAATAATGAGTAAATATCTTCTTTTAACTGCCACATATTTATTTTTCTAAAAAAAAGGACATGTGCGCGTAATAGTACAAATATAATGTGATCTTGCTGTTTAAATACAAACCAAGGAAGATAAAAAGAAACGAAACAAATGATGCTAATTAATGATATATATTCCTTATCCATTACTTTTGTTATTCTCTTTCTTTCTTTATCGCACATATAAAGCATAGAGATTTTTCATCTCATAAATGTATGTCCTTTTGTTACAATTACATATAATCATCAGTTTATTTCATTAAACATGGTATTATCTATCTTCAACCCTTTTAATTTGATAGAACGTTCATCATACCGATACCTAAGCTTTTTTCAGCTCTTTCTATAAATACAATAGATATTGAGAAAATAAATTTCATTTCAATGCATGTTTTATTCATGAAATGATTAGATTACATAGAAAGAATGAAGATACTTTTTAAAGTATAGATCGATTAATAAATGATTCTCTAATGTATTATTTCAAATTTTTGTATACGTTTATTATATGTATCTGTAACATATAAATTCATATCTGCATCCAAGGCAACATCACGAGGAAAATATAATTCATTACTTCCATTACCCATTTGGCCAGTTCCAGCAACGGTAATGCCAAATACAGAATTTGGACAAAACATTTGTATTCGATGGTTTTGACAATCAGTGACATATAGATTACCATATTTATCAAGAGTTATACCTTCAGGACTTTGTAATTGAACTGGACTATTACCAGGTCTTCCAGGAATACCAGCATATACAGATTTAGTACCATAAGTATCCATATTCCATTGTGTTACTGAATGAGCTTGTTCATTTGTTATATATAAGATATTATTTGGTTCGTCGAGATATAAACCAGTTGGACTATATAATTGAGTTGGACTGAGACCTGCACCATTACCACCCTAAAATAATAATGTATAATTTATCATATTATTTCTCATGTTTCAATTAACCACTATAGCACTTCGACATCATTTTTATTAGTGAAATCTAAGAGAATTTTCTTTGAATATAATTTCAATTGGATAATTTTAAATATATAATGTCTCACTTAGAAACAATAATAAAATCAATAACTTACTGCTATAATTGTACCAGTAGTTTGTTTTGGATCATATGTAGGTGGCCATTTTGTTATACGTTCATTTTGCCAATCGGCAACAATTATATTTTTCTTTGAATCAACTAAAACTCTACTTGGATAACCAAATTCATTTAATAAAGTACCACGAGTTCCATTTCCGGCAACTGTTTGTCCATGTTTCGCATCTTTCGCCCACAATTGAATACGTTGATTATTCCAATCAGCAACATAAACATTTTCATCTTCATCTGCAAAAACATCTATTGGAGCATTTAATTTATTTGATGTTGATCCACTTGCACCATTAGACTGACCAGCAGCTATCTTGATTTCACCATTTGGATAACGTTTAAGCACATAGTTATTACCAGCATCAGCAACATATAAAATTTGTGTTTTCGAGTCAATAAATAAACCTTCAGGAAATGTTAATTGATCTCGACGTATACCATGTTTTTTATCATTGCCAAGAATTGTTATTCCTTTTGTATTCCATTTTAAATTGCCTGGACCTAATATTTCAAAGAAAATACATTTCAATTTTCTTCTCAAATATAAACTAATCTATATTCTGAATTAGTATAATAAATCTTTAAAAAAAAACTTCTTGCATATTATATAACTTTAAAAAATATTATGAAAATCTAAAATATTTAGTGTAATAGATGTATAGTAACTTTATGTTTACTTACAGTCGCTCGAGTCTTTATATGCAGATTGACCTAAAGAAAATAAATTATAAATAAGTTATTTTTATCTTCAAAATAATTGTTATACACTTGCCATTATTTATTACGATTGTCCTAGAAAAAAAAGTAAAATGAGATATTTATTTCGTATTGTGTATAGGGTTTTTTAAATCAAAATCATTATTTCTAGTAACGTAATCATGATGATAACGATGAAATATTTAAATTTATATTGAATTATTTTCTAAAGTTTAGCTCAACATAATACTTACGCAAATAAACATAATAAATAATATAATAACATGTTGATAGTTTCAAATTGCGTTGTTCGAGATAGAGAAATGACAAATGTGTGCGTTTCTCACACCTTTTAAATTAAAAATATTTTATCTTTGCATCATCATTTACTATCAGTAGATTTTCATAATAACAGTGATAATAACAAAAAAAA